GTTTTTCAATCGACGTGATTTCCACGTCGAAATATCGTGGATAAAGGAGTCAAATCCACGTGGATATCACGTGGATACTCGACGTTGAATCCACGTCACAAATCTACGTGAAATCCACGTTCCTTCCACCAAAATTCCTCTTTGGGCAAGGAACGTGAACTTTTCAAAAATAATACTAACACAGCGTCAGATAAGAGATCACTACCCTGAAATTTGTAGACCTCTCGCTCATCTCCTTCCTCTTACACGGACGACGGACGGACGGACGGACACGAGAGCGGTTGCATAAGCCCGCTTTAATGCTTTTTTAAAAGCAGAAGGGCGGGCTAAAACACGGACACATGTAGACGTGTTCTATATTATATGTTGACACTTATATTCTTAAATAAGGTAAAAACATATTATATATTTCAAGTCATAGGTTGGCAGCATCAGTATACTTTCCGCCCCTTTTCAAACGAAATTATTACAAGGCGGAACTACAGTCCCAGCCAACAATCAAAGCTGTGGCTGGCGCTCAGCGGCCGCGTTCAAAACGGCGTCTGTGTTGCATCTTTATACACAGCGGCACGATAGTATTATTTAAACGCGACCACCGAATCGACGCCAGGGTCAAATATTTTTTGGGTAGGGTTGTACAAAGCAACATGGATCGATTCCATTGGTCGAACTTTCCCGCGCAAATTTGTGATTAGCCGAAATTACCTGGATCGACTCGGCCTGCTGCTCAGCTCGTCAATTGGTAATTCTTTACTTGAGTGACTCCTCGCACTAGAGTCACTCAAGAATACCATCGGAAAGGTATTTTTCAGTAGAATCCTGAACAGTATTTATTGGCTGAGCGATAGCGAAGCCTATTACTCCAGTGATGATCAAAAAGTTTCGCGTCTGTCTGTCTGTGTGTTTGTCTGTGCGCACGATAACTCGAGAACGAATTGAGCTAGCGACCTGGGATTTTCAGGGTCGTTTTTTGTCATAAACAGACAGATCGAGTTCGAAGAAGAGCATTCTAGCTCGAAAATTGGGTTTAAAAAAAATCAAAAACCACAGGCCCCCAAAATGAGGTTTTTTAAAAACAATTTTTAACTGTTTCCTAAGGGGTAACTCATCAAAGTAGAGGCCTTTAGGCGGCAAAAATTTCGTCCATTTGGCTCTATCTTTAACCGTTTAGGCAGGCACCAGGGGGAGTTTTCTACACGAAAATGACCGCAAAACATTTCTATGTTTTTTCTCAGATATTTGTTGGTCTCCGGTAGGGTAACTCGTTAAAATAAAACCCCGAGGAACTCACTTTTGGGGCCGAATGCCTACTTACGACTTTGACCCGACTCGGGTGTCAGCGCCGCAGGCCTAGGTAGATGTATGCCAGGCGCGTCGCAGCGTAACAGTGTTTCGTGAGGTATCGCGAAGCCTGTTACGCAAAACGTGGTCTGGCGTACATCTACCTAGTATATTGGCGCTCGAGTCTGGTTTTCCTCAAAATTAAAGAAATATGCGTCGCCGCCAACCTTCAGATGCACTTTGAAGACGGCAGAATACCTTACGTTTACGGCTAGTCCTAACGTTGATCGCTCCGGCTGGGGTTTTTAAATCATTGCTCCTGCATCAAAGACTACGCCTGATTTATTGGCTGAGCTTGCGAAGCCTTTGCTGTGATTTGGGGTGCCGAGGACTCTTTGGTCGTGTGTCTGTCTGTCTGTCTGTCTGTACTGGCCCACGTTTCTCTCAGACGGTAACTTCAATTGACTTCAAACTGCGCACGAAGCTTCAGTATAAGTCGAG